GGTAATCTCCGAAACTACTCATCCGATTTCAAAAATTCTTTCACCAATATTTAGAATGGAACCTCAGGGTGGACATAGGCTATATATTATTCCGTTAAACATTCATATAAATTAAAAGATATAATCTAGGTTAAGGCTTTTATGTACAACAGATGGCACTACGAGTACGACGCCCTAAGTTTGCTTTTCTGTGAGGCATTATGCTTTTCTGTGAAAATTAACTAAAGCAGATCATCATCTATCTATCTATATAAATAAAAATGTAATGTTCGTTTGTTCCTACTGATTCCTTTGAAATTTTGACACAACGCTGCATTCGAATACGCATGTGTTTTTATATAATATGCATGTCGAAATTCCCCCCACTGAAGGGAGATGGTTAGGATTAAGGTCTACCGTAAAGAACTCTGCTTCTATTTATACTATTTTAGATGCGGTCTTTTGCGTTTTAATAGGGTGCGTCAACAGAATGTACACTAAGAAGGGATTTTTCAATATTCACCCTGTGGGGGAGAGGAACAGGATTAAGGCTTACCATGAAGAACTTGGCTTCTATTATACTATTTTAGATGCAGGTTTTTGCGTTTTTGATTGTGTTGTAATAGGGTATGTAGAGAATGTATACTAAGAAGAAATTTTTCGAAAAATTCCCCCCATGGGGGAAGTGCTATACATTTATAACAGATACATTTTGAGCCACAACAACACGTGGAGGGGTCTGCTATATTGTATATTATCAGTCTTTGGTGAAATATAGAAAAAAGATTCAATTAGCCCAAAAAACTTTTTGTATAGTCATTACAGTGTTAATGTAAACAATCCTGGGGGGAAAAAATAATATAATTTTTCCAGACGTTTTGTCTCATCAGAACACGGGTAAATTGTTCTTTATTTGAACTAGTGTTGCAATTTGATGATGAAGCAAAGTATCTTGAACAACATTTAATCTTGCTTAAAATATTTGGACTTCTTGATATTTTAACATTTCTAGCTTTGTCTGGTCTTATTAGCCTACAAAAAAAATTATGTTGTTTTTGTATATTGTATTTTTATGCAAGTTTCAATGCTGACTTTTGCATGTTTTATTACATGCACATATACACATATTGATAAAATTATCATGTAACTAATAAAAATCACTTCTGATTAGTATTTGAATAAAAAAAAATGCCAAAAATAGACAAAACTCGGCCTATCTTTTATTAATCTGTTTAATATTTATGCTACAACAGCATTTCTATTTGATATAACAAATTTCAATTAAGAAAAAATGACATCTAAATAAAAGATTAAAAATTATTCTTTGATAAAGAAATTTATTTACTTCAGTTTTTCAAAACTTTCTGGATCTAAACTCCATAACTCTTCAACTTGAACACCTTTAACACCTTAAAAAATAAATAAATAAATAAAATAAAGCATTTACATATAATTATATAAAATCAATTTAAAATTCTGATATTAATAACTCAAAAGTGTAATTTATTTAAACTAAAAATTAAAATTATTTAAATTATTAATAACTTATTATTTAAATTAAAAACTACATATAATGCATACAATCCTCTAGAAACTACATATTTGAATTAAATATAAAAATGAAATGTTTTCAGACTCTTTTAGAGGCCTGCATCAAGCATCAAACTTTACAGAATGTTAGAGATTCTAATTTTAGAACATTTTTTAAATGTATTTAATTCAAATACATAGTTGCTGGAAGATTGTATTCATGGTATTTAGTTTTTAATTTATCTACATTCCAGCTGTTAGAGACTTTTATGTAATTTATTTATATTTAAATTTATTATTATTATTATTAATTTATTTCTATTAGATGCATGACAACAAATGATATATTGGTGTTGACTAATATTCACATTGGGTTCTTGGGAAGAACCCTATGTGAATGTTACTCAACATGACAAATCTAGGATATCGTAATGTAACTGAGCAGAATGTTCACAGACCCGAGCAGTGCTGCTTTTTGAAGTTGATGGATGTTAATTTGCTTCAAGGACTGCTCCAGGTTTTTGGAAACGGAACCCAGTGCGCAATAATCACTGATACTACTGCTGCTAGTTTGTGCCACAATCTTTGGAGTTCAATCCTCAAGTCCATGTATCTTGTAATTTTTTCTTGTTCTTTATTATTAGCTCTGCTGTCACCAAGAATCGTGATATCAATAATCCACATCTTTTTCTTCTCAGCAATGGTTATGTCTGATATGTTGTGCACTAGGACTTAATCGGTTTGCAATCTGAAGTCCCATAAAATTTTTATCCGCTCATTTTCAGTTACTTTTGTGACATTACAATCCCACCAGTTGTTTGATGTTTCAGTGAATCACCTTGGCAATGCTGTTGTGCTTCAATCTGTAATCAGTCTGTGCAATATTTTTGCATAGCTGAGAATATGGTTTATGGTTTCATCCAATTCACTGCACAGTCTGCATTTAGTGTCAACTGATAAATTTTCAACTTTAGCTTTGATGGAATTTCTTCTAATCACTTGTTCTTGTGCAGAGAGAATAAGGCTTTTAGTTTCTTTTTTTAAATGTTTTTGCTGGCAACCACTGCCAAGTTTTAGTTTTGTCTACTTTTTCATTCCCTAAATCAGAAATCAAGAAAATTGATGACAACTCACTATGTACTACATCCAAGCAGTGACACTGATAGGTTGTACCTGCTTGCAAATCTGGGGACAGAGGTCTATTGCAGGTGCATCAAACAGTGAAGAAGAAAAACATACCCTAGATGATTACATTAACAATAGCCAAAAATGGGCATTAATGGAAGTGAAAAATCAAAACCTGCTGAAGGTTCAAGGCACAAAAAAAGAATATTGCCAAAAAACATTGAAGGAAAGAGTAAAGGTTGGAAAAATAAGGCACCGCATGGACAATTTCTGAAAAAAATTGATCTAAATCAGCCTGCATCCAGTTCACAATACCAGCAGCATATCTGACAACTGGAATAGCCCAAGGATTGATGGCCTTTATTGTATTGCCTCCATTTAGCTTTGTTTTAAGGATTTTTCTGACCTCCTTGGATGTATTCTTTGCTAATAGTTGTTTTTACTTGACTATGTTTGATGTTATCTAACTCAAATATGCTAAGGTATTTTAGGCCTCTTGGTTATTTTTAATAACCTGGCCATTTGGCATTTCTGTTCTCTCAAATTCTGTGAGTTTTCCTTTGGTCATAGTCACAGCACATTTTTCCAATCTAAATTCCATTGAGATGTCTGAACTGAAAATACAGATTGTGTTGGTCAGTGAGTAAATTTCACTTTCTGATTTTCCATAGTGTCAGGTCATCCATATACAGCAAATGAGAAATTTTCTGAGCATTCCTAGCTGTTTGATATCCCAAATTTGTTTTCTGCATGATCAATGACAATAGGATTATTGATCATGCAGAATCAACAATAGGATCAAACAAACAGAAGAGGTGACAATGAGTAACCTTGGAAGATGCTTCCCTTGATGTTGACCATTCCATATTTTTCATTACTGAAAAGCAGTTCTGTCTTCCACTTTTCCATCACTTTTTCCATGAATTTTATAAGATTTTCATTCCTGCCAATTGTTTTCATACATTTTATGATCCACCTACGAAGTAATGAGTCAAATGCTTTTTTTATAATCAATCCACACCATATACAGATTTGTTTTCCAGCTTCTGCAGTTTTCCAGAATCATTTTGTCAATCAAGAGTTGGTCTTTTGTGCCCCCCTGCTTTTCCCTTTTGTTGTGCTGATAGGATGTTGTTCAGTTCCAAAAAAGCTACAATGTTATCAGCTATGATGCCAGTGAGCAATTTGAACATGGTTGGTAAGCATGTTATTGGTCTGTAATTCGATGGTATTGTGCCTTTTGCGGAGTCTTTTTTTAAGAGGTAGGTTCTGCCAGTTGTTAACTATTCCTCAATTTCACAATTTTGCAGTGCATGATTGTAATGATCATTATTGATACTTATATCTTATTTTTTCATATAATATAAATCAACTAAATTTCAAAAAACTTATAAGTTACTTAACATGTGATTGCAACATAACAGAAATGAATAATTCCATATTCATAAAACATTAAAATATCAATAAGTGCACCCAAACATTTGGCACTTGGGCCACATGTTCCCCTTTCTTGTCAGGTTGCCCTTTTCTTAATCCCCAAGGGCACTCTAAGGTTTCATTTTATTTTTAAATTAGTTACTCATTTTTATCACAGAAAACTTTTTACTGATGACAACAAATATTTTCATTTTAATTTTATTAACCAAAATTTGTCCCAACGGGTTGTGATTGTTCGGTCAAGTATCATGGTACCACCGTATTTGATTAATGCAATTTTGAGATATGTAGTAGAATCAAGGTATCCCGAGGTAAAACTCACCTTTAAAAATTAAAAATGCTCAAAGAAAAAAAAAAAGTCAGTCACGGTGTACCCATGAACATAATATACGGTTCTGTGTACAATATTTTGAAAGAAATAAAATTTGATTAACTCGATTTATTTTGCTTACAATTATTTTATCATCATTCAATTGCTTAAAGCTAAGATCAGTCTATGGTAATCAAAATATGAAATATAACTTAGTTGAATTATCACAAGTTTTTGATATGGATAGGGAATATCATATCAATGCAAGTGCTTGATCTTGTAAGTGTATAAAAATTTAGCATTTTCTGTTACACCGTCTTAACTGATGGCTGCAACGCTAACACTAACAACTCATTGGTGCATGCTTTCAACGCTACTAAGTGCATAATAACTCATTGTCTGCCTCTACTGTCACTATATAATATGCATATAAACTCTAAATTTCAATATTTTTAAAACTATTCACTTTTTCAAAAAAAAATAACTATTCTTCATTTTTCAATTCTCTTTCCATTAATACACCCATTTAGATGAGAACTCATCTAACATCATTTTCTAATTGTCTTACTATTAACTCGCATTGGTCTTCTGAAAAGGCTACCCACCAGAACACCGCATTTTTGGATGTAAGTGTTGTTATATTTGAAAAAGACATATAACATAATAAGTGGGCAAGTTCTAACACTTGCTTGTCGTGTAGATGTAGCGATTAAATGTGTTTGAAAAGAAAAGTTGCATAGTGTGCAAAAGCATAGTTCTAAACATATGGACAGATATAGTGAAGCAAAATCTAGAACTGTGATGTACTTGTCATCTTTTAACATAATTTCCTTTAATTTGGAAACTAATTTTTGTGGATCTTGTATCAAGAATTTGTAATCTTTAAGATATGTGGCTAAAATTCTATGCATATGTTTTTCTAGTAATATAGTAGGAGATCTGGCTTTATTAACTATGGGTCAAAGTTGCATACCTGGTTTATGCTCACTTTAGCTAATTTAGTGCTGGCAAACCTGGAGACTATTTTGGAGGTGATATAAATAGTTTTCATTGATATGTTCACATTCTGTATCTACAACATATTCATTTAGCCAGGACAGGTACAATGCTTTTTTCATTAGAACAAGGGCTCTGTTTTTGTCTGCTTTCAATAAACATTTTTGATTTATTTTATAAATCTGAAGCAGGTTTATAAAATAAACTGAAAATGTTTGTTATACAAATTCTGCTTGCTGGAGATTTATATAAGGCAGTAGTTCCCAAACTTTATCAGTCCATGGCACACTTAAAGGTTTAGTATTTTGTCCCAGCACACTTGTCAAAATATGTGTACAATGACATAAATCAGGCACAGAAATGAAAACAACTCTTAAGATGAACCTCACAATGTGAAGCTCACATTTATTAAAATTGAATCATAAGAACCATCAAACTAAAATATGAAAATACAAAAAATATGAAATAAATGGGAAAAACCTTCAACCACAAGTAAGTTAATGTGATGAGTAAGCTTGCTGATCGCTACACATTTTTTCGAAATGCAGAATAATGTTTGACACTGCCACTCTCATTTCTCACTCCACATCAATTTTTGAGAGATATTTGCTTTTTATTACAGCTAGAGCTGAAAATCCAGCTTCGCATAAATATTTTGTTGCAAAGGGAATGAGGATCCTCACAGCTTTTGAACTCTGAGTTGGATATTCATTTTTGATTGATATCCAAAACTTCACTAAATTGGAAGAAGCAAATTTTGTTTTCAGGCTGTCGTTGCAAGAGAGTTCAATTAGACTCTCTTCTTCCTGCAAAGTGAATTCTGGTGGAGCTTGAGCATGAAAAGGATCTTGAATTCACGCAAATTTCTCGACATTGTCTTTCTCAAAGTATTTTGCAAACCTGTCACTGTGCTTTGAGAGGTGTTCCTTGAAAGGGGACAGCAAGTCTTGTGAAATAATGACTTTATTACAGGCCAAGTATTTGTGCAATTCAAGGAAACAATGTTGATCT